TTTACGTTTCATCTTGCGCATTTTGTGAAAGTGGAAAGTGCAAAAGTGCACTTCCGTTTTTTTCTTGAAACAGATGAATGTGGCAATCTTTTATTATTGTGAATTCCTTTGCCCACTATAATCATGAATTGAAAAATCTTATATCGTAACAGCCCAATACATATAGTCACGTAGGGGGATATATAGCATATAGAAAATCTCAACCACAGCTGTAATCTGCAAAATACGACTATAATACATAAAGATGTTAAGATATTAAGTAAAATACAGTATATAGTAACCTTTCGGCCCGATTGTGTAAGCACTAAACATAAGAGACAACACTGATTCTAACAGACACACATCCACAATTTTATGGCTCCAAAGTCATTTTTGAGTGTGGTCACAAGAGCATGTGTGGGTCACTAATTTGATTTGCATCTTATATAAGAGATTCCCCATGGACGTATTGAGTGCAGTTATCAACAGGGATTTCTCTGCTGGTATTAGGTTCCATTGTAATATTTGCATCACATGCTCCACATCTATAAATAAAAGTATTATGGAAGCTTTCTGGCCTCAAGCGAGGCATTTTATTCCCCCCAAGTGACTTTCCAGAATCTATTTATAGCTTCAAAGGACACCAAGGAACTGTATATCAGACATCTGACTGGATTCTTGGCATTTATCAAAAGCTAATGTAAAGATTCTTCAATGTGAGAAAAAATTATAGAAACAGTGATTTTCTTCCAGGACATTATCCACTAAGTGTACGGACATTACTTTTAACCCTAAATCATAACACAATGCGATGCGTAATTGAAAATATAGCTAAAACACCTGTGAAAAATTAATATAGAAAATGTCTTTATATTAACCGTGCAGTACCTATTTTTACAGATTTTTCTTAGATTGTAGATTAGCACATGGCTAGCAATGGTAATAAGAAAGAACTGCACAATAAGATTTATTTGTAAGATTTATACATTTATCAGACCAGTTGAAGACCGAGGACTGTTTGTGGAAAATGTATTTGAAAACAATTACAATCTTTGCAATTCCGTTTGTTTTTGCGAGTGGTGCATTAATGCATTAAAGGACACAAAATTTGATTAGTGTACATTTATCAGTCATCCACTTAAAGGGATAGTTCACCCAAAAATGAAAATTTGATGTTTGTCTGCTTACCCCCAGGGCATCCAAGATGTTGGAGACTTGGTTTCTTCAGTAGAACACAAACGAAGATTTTTAACACAAACCGTTGCAGTCTGTCAGTCATATAATGGAAGTGAATGGGAATCACGGAGTAAAAAAAACACACAAACAAAATCAAATTAAACTCTGCATCTCGTGACGATACATTGATGTGTAAAGACATCATTACCGCCACCTATCTCTCAAAAGGACCATTGACACTCTATCTACAATCTCAATTAGGAGTGTCAATGGTCCACTTGAGAGATAGGTGGCGGTAATGCACTCCGCCGTAAGTCTGCGATCCGCTGTAAAGCAAGCAAGAAGAAGACGCCTCACGCGCTTGCTGTCGAGAACGTGCTCAGGAGGACGCGCTGAGTTCAGACAGTTTGGACATTGCGGTGAAAATCAGAGGTAAAAAACGATATAAATACTGTTCAGTTTCTCGCACAGACCGATTGTTTTGTGTCTTTACACATCAATGTATCGTCACGAGCCACAGAGTTTAATTTGGTTTTGTTTGAGTGTTTTTTTTTACTCCCAAAGCCGTGATCCACTTCCATTATATGACTGACAGACTGCAACAGTTTGAATTCTGCAACTGTTTCAGTTTCTCATCAAGGCAAGTTAGACTACTCTTTTTATGACATATGGGAGCTCTAATATACATGTCTCTTCTTCTGATTCTCTTGCAGAATCTTGCCAAATACACTCTTAAAAATAAAGGTGCTTCAAAAGGTTCTTCAAGCGATGCCATAGAAGAACCATTTTTGGTTCCACAAAGAACCGTTCAGTCAAAGGTTCTTTAAAGAACCATCTCTTTCTAACCTTTTTGTAATCTGAGGAGCCTTCTTTCGCCACAAAGAACCTTTTGTGAAACAGAAAGGTTCTTCCGATGTCAAAGGTTCTTTATGGAACCATTTAGACAAAAAGGTTCTTCTATGGCATCGTGAAGCACCTTTATTTTTAAGAGTGTATGAGCATCCAAACTAATGTTGTTATGGGGCAAAGATTACACTCTTCCAACAGGGATTCTGATGGTACTTTATTCAGGACCAAGGGTTGGGCGGGAGGTGTATCTTTAGTAATGTGTCATTATTATAATCAAATTCAAACTGATTATACAAGACATCGTAATGGTCTTCACTTGCGTCTGTTTGCGATCTCAGTTTGCCCTATACATGTCTGCAGCCCTTTTAAACACAAAAAGAAAAGAAAATGACCGTGTGAAGACCTGCAGCACTTTAAATGTCTCTCCTTGCATCATGTTCTGAAAACATACATGATTTACCATTTGGGGACTAATGTGTTAAAACCAATAGCCAGAAGAATAGAACTGCAAACATTAGTCCACAAATGGCAAATGAAAAGACTTCTGCATTGCTGTTCTTTACTGTATAAGCCTTTATTTGTAAAAAGTCAGTTGGTTACTTATAACCCTTTTTTTGTACCACATACTGTAACATCTTGTATTAGTAAAAAACACATTTTGCTCAAACACCTAGAAAAGCTGACCGACACCATTACATTAATTGGCACTGACAAAAACAAAAGAAAGAAAGAAAAAAAGAAAGAAAGACAAAGTAAAGAAAAAGAAGAGAATACAACCTTATACTTTACAAATGTTGATTTCATGAAGACAAATCATACCCCCAAATGGATCATCAAAAATCATCACACCTCAATAGTTCAACATAATCAAACCAAGTGCTTAATGAGAACAAAACCAGTACAACACAAAAACAGAATGCATTTCACTTTCAGGGCAGGATGTAAAGTAGAAATATATTTTCTTTCTATGAGAAAACATCAACAATAAGAATTAACAACTCATTTAAAGAATACAACAAATACAGGCAACTAGAAATGAAACGAAACAGTACTGAATAGCAATTGAATTCTCAAATTAGGTATGACGTGGTTGCCCTAGATATCTGCCAATTTTTTTTATAGGATTTTCTCTTCAGGTTAGTACTTTGCTTGTGGGTGCTGTGTTTATGTGTTATAATTCGCTATATCAGTAACACTATCCTGGCGCAAAGAAGAAAAAAAAATCAGCACAGCAAAGTCACTGGCCCATACATTTCAACAAACTCAGAGAATTTGCTCTGCCAGTCATGCATTCTCATGGCATGAAATGTTAACTTGCTGTTTTGTTCAACGAAATGTAAGCAGGTCTAGTCTACTTTGAACTAATGGCTTAATAGGTGTGTCTATCTACTCTCAACTGTATGTGATACACACAAAAAGCAAGAGAGGATGAAAATGTGCATATCTTCTCATATTTTTTTTCTCTTTTTTGCTTAAATGATGATTCCGTGAATAATTTTCTCCGTAACTCTCCTCTTCTGATATAGTTAGTATTTTTCTTTTTTGTTTTCTATTTTTAATTTAAGATTTACAGTGCTTGGTTCAATCTCTGTGCACAAGAAGAAGCAAAAAGCTTGCTTTCTTTGTATGTGTGGGTGATATGAATGGCCGGTTTTAGAATAGAAAAGAAATTATGAAAATAAACCTTTCTGAAAAGAGACATGCAAAACAAAACCGGTATCTTTTTTGTGAGTTTTTCTCCTTTTCTTTTCTTTTTTTTCCAGAGATAGGTTTCGTTTGCAGAAGTTATGCCGGTGCTGTAAAAGCTGTCCATGCCAGTAGCATTGAGGCTAGCTGTTATTACCAACTGCCCTCTTTTGTTCATGCATTAAGAAATATAAGTGAAAGATATCATATGTACAATACAATTCACATGTAATTACACATATACACAAGAGGCAAGAAAATTCACATTAAAATCAGTTCAACAGTTTTTGTACTTCCTTTTCTCCTGCTTCATGGTTGGATGTAGCAAAAGACCAAAACAATGTACTCAAGTAAAAGCTATTCGATGATTTGTTGAGTTATGTTAATGGTATGAAAGTGTGGAAGTGAACAAATGGGGTGATTTGTGTGAAGTGCGTAGATTATTATGTCCTTCACTGTCATCACAACACATTAGCCTCATTGAGTTCTGCCATACCCTCCCCCCGTAAGTTGTGCAAAGCTTGTTTAAAAAATGGACAAAACACATTAACAAACAATGTATTTGTCTAGAACTAAAGCAAAGTGCAAGGCAAAAGGAAAATGTGTCCCCTATCCCCTAACCAGATAGCAAATTACAAAGAAGAATTCATACTTTAATATTACGATGAGTCACATTCTCCAAAAAAGGCCAACAATCCCATCAGTGCTCAAGAGTATGCTAAGGATATTAAATAAAGATCATGTTCCATGAAGATATTTTGCAAATTCCCTAATGTAAATATATAAAAACTTTAAAGACGATTTTCTCAATATTTAGATTTTTTTGCACCCTCAGATTCCAGATTTTCAAATAGTTGTATCTCGACCAAATATTGTTCTATCCTAACAAACCATACATCAATGGAAAGATTGTTTATTCAGCTTTCAGATGATGTATAAATCTGAATTTCGAAAAATTGACCCTTATGACTGGGTTTGTGGACCAGGGTCACAATATTATATATAATATATATATTTTTTCTAATAGGTTATTCATACCATAATTTCTGTTGTGAATTACTCTACAGTATCCATGTTTCCACTCACAAAATTCAGAACCAAATAACCGGGATAAAACGCTGAAATAACTTTTTTTTGGTGTGATATAAAGATGTAATTACAAACAAAAAAGTCACAATTAGAAGATTTCCCAGTTACAAGAAATACTATAATAATTTTGAGATATAGGTCAAAATAAGACACAGTTATAGAAATTGTGAGATAAAAGTGAAATAAATAAATTGTGAATAATGTGAAATATAAAGGTGCAATTAATTAATTATCAGAATCCTATACCTGTACATGTTTAGTTCTACATTTTGAGGTTCTGAGGTTAAGCAGTGGAAACATAGCCAGAGTACCCGGATGAGACATTTGAGGGAACTAATTTGTCACTGTATTTTCTAGGTTCTATAACTGCTAACTTAATTGTACCCCAAATGTCCAATGATCAAATTATAATGCTCTATAACCATGTTTAAGGCTTGAATTGAGTTGAAAGAGAATCACTTTCCCATTAACTTTGTTGTATTTGCATTGTATTGCTCAGAAATATTTAATGAAAAAATGCTTAGTGAGCTCATTAAGGCAAATCTTGCAGGGACGAATGCCCACAAACCAGAATCTTACCAAAAATCTGTTCTAGGTGTAAGCTCACTGTGAATAAACAGAGTGCTGGTGCTACAAGAACATGTTGAACACAATATCAGTTTGAACAAATTCAACATCCAACATGTCTCAGTGGCACAGTATGGCTGTATTAGCATTTCGCTAATCCCTACTCTATCGAAAATTCCAACCCTTGCCTATGGTGATTGGTCAGGACGCATGGACCAATAAAGATTCAGGTTACCCTGTGGAACGTTAAACTGATCATTAGCAAGAAAGACTGCATAGTGCCAGCAAGAAGGTAATGAAGCTATGTAGTAAATGGGTGCTAACTTATATATGTATATAGTTACGAAACCTCTTGTACAAACTACTACTAAGAATTTCTAATTATTCTCATGGATAATATACCGAACCACAGGTTATGATGCTGTATGCATTTTTTTTCTCTCTCTCTATTATTAGTTACTCTAAGGAAACAATTAGAGCACCTATGGGACACTGATTGATAAATTAGAGCAGTAATATCTGATACAAAAATATATCAACATCCTTTTAATTGTGCAGTCTTATCAGTTAATAGCGGCTGGCGTGCAAATGATAATAAACTTAAAAGTATATGCCACCTAGAAGTCATGCTACTTTCCCAGCTTTTCTTGACAAAGGCAAAGCAAACTCTATTTTTCCAGTCTCAAAAAAAAAAATCTACATGTCTTCCTTCTAACTGGTCCGGTTCCCTTGAATACATTAAGAGAAAAATTGGCTAATGGTGCAGTTAGCATTTTCAACTTACCACTACACTTGTCTACAACACTGCACTAGTAGAGGTGGATTGATATTGTAGCTTAAAAGGTCTGATCTACATTGTAAGTTCACATCTAAACACTATAGATTAAATGTGTATACCTAACTAGTCTGCCTTTGAACCTTCATTGGCAAAGCATTGCAGCATCTTGAATGCCTACTGGGAGTTGTAACTGGCCAAGGCACCCCCGTAACACTCATAATAGCTAGGGTTTTTCATAAAAAGCACTCTGACCTCCATCCTCTTTTAGTGCAGATTTGCGCTTAACTTAATTGCTACAGTGTGCATGCAACCGTGCATGTCTTGCTTTGCACTTGAGAGTACTGGCTCCCTTGCACAGGTGTTATGGTCGTGCTCAAATAACAAATACAGTATAATAACACAATAAGTGGAAATCCTTCGAGCGTGCTTCTATGGTCATCTGCTGACAAGTAACGTAGGACCGTGCAAGCCTTCTATACTTTCAGATTTCCCTGACTCCTTTGTTTCTTCATGGAATGAGTGATCTGTTGGTGATTTGGTGGCTGGTGTGGGGGTCGAGAGCCAAGGGACCCTGCTGAGCTCTGAGGTCTGAGGCCTGCTCAGGATATCCTCCTCAGGGAACTCAAGCAAATCCTGGGCTCTCGTGTTCTCAAACCACCACCGGAACCCTCCTCGCTTTTAAATGTCACCTTGCCCAGTTATTCAGAAATTCAGTTCTCATCCACATCTTCAAGAACTGTTCCAACATTGCTGTGAAAAGCATTTGTTGGGATGCTTCTATTCAACCGAACTACTCTGAGTATTGAGACAGCTAGATACTACCAGAAATGAGCTTTGAACGAATATGGATGGTATATTAATTGGTATATGGATTTAGGTGGGAGTTTGTGGTCACCTGGAGATAGAGAAAGATCTGGCCACCTCAATGTCAATGAAGCTGAGGTAAATCATAATGAGGCGAAGCCCAAAAGAAATGGTGGTGGGTGAATCAGAGGTAAATGGTAAAAAGAGAAATGGATTATAGGCCTTTTTGGTTGCAACGTCAGTTCATGGCTTTTATCGTACATGTCATTTTGCCCCGAAAAGACTCAGAAGCTTTTATTTTATTATTTTTTTTCCTGATTATGCTTTGAGATTCAATCCCAAGATGCAAAACGTCGGAGCTGTGGGTGGGTCTGCAGTGCTTAAAGTGAAAGGTCAAATATCAAGGGTCATTCGGTCCTCTTTCACTGATTGATGAACTGAGGACACATCCTTCAGGTTTCAGACAGGCACATTTTAGAGAAACTAAAAACATCAGCATATATCATTCTCAGGATGGATCACTACAATGACTGAATATATACAATATCAGGTCACACTATGGTTCGAGTGGTTGACTTAAACATGAAACGGATAAAAACATGGTCACATCCCCTGTTGAATACACAATAATCTTTTCTCTCCTTATTTTGTACATTTTCACATAGTTGGACTAACTTCAAATCCAAGTTCTAAAGGAACGTTACATCTCACTAAGGGTTTCCCTCCATTCCAAACAACACAAAGCTCTACAAGATGTTCATGAATACTGTATCAATAGAACATATGAAATGCACTAGGAACAAGAGTAAAGAAAGAACAACAATGTCAATAAGGCTACGGAATGAATGAATGTACTCTTTTTTCCCTCTTCATTTTCTTAAATTCCCAATGAATGATGCATACCAGTGGCTTAATATCTATTAATGAACTACCTCTAGAACATGTTTAGGGGATGACCTTCAAAAATATAGAGTATACCCTTAGCCCAAAAATGAAAGGAAGGAGAATCTGCAAAAAAGAGAAGAGAGAAAATGAACCATACTGACTCTGGGCAGGATGCATTGGTTAAAACTCAAGATGGCCGTCCAGTGTAAACCATTGACCAGAGCTGAGAGGTTCGATAAAGAGAACGCTTGTCACTTGCAAAATCAAGGAATGACACATAATTCCAAAAGAGGTCGCTGTACAGTGTAGAAACGGACATTTCCGTCAGTCTCTTCCATGGGCATGGGGAAAGCAGTGGATCGGGTCTGGGGGCCCGCTCGGTCGATGCCCCGAAATGCACAAGCCACTTCTGATTTCATGAGCTGCGGTTGGGAGAGGTTGATTACAGTATCAATAAAAAGCAGATGAGAGGTTCTTTTTCTCTTGCAATCTTTTCTTTTAGCAAAAATATCATGCAGTCTTTAGTTCCGTGCCCTCGAACAGGGGACTAATGTATGTTATTCGTCATTTGTTTCAGAAGGAAAAGAATTCAAATACTTGAAATGTTTCTTTTGTATTATTCTTAAACATTCAAGTCATTCTATATAACACGTTTCTTTTTTACACCAGAAAAGTCCTTTAGATTTTACACACGCATGTGTATATAGAAATATAATATATAGAAATATGCATATACATATGTATCAACTTTTCATATATGTGTACACATATTTTCCAATTGTATCAAAGCCAATTCAATGTGCTCTCAAAATATGGCCCATGTTTCCTTGGGGAACGCATATCAATTCACGTAATACAACCAATAGATAAGGTTGAAGAATCCAAAAGTGATAGGAAAAATGACCCGGGACCACTTGTCAATGGTGCTAACATCCGCCAAGTTGGGGATTTTGAGCTTCAGCTTGGACGAGCGCCTTCTTAGCCGGCAATTGGCACGACTGCGCATGGCGCTGCGGTCCAACGAGTGGTGGCTGAACCCATCCCGTGAAGCCATGGGCTTGCGGAACTGCACTCCGGAGCTGTCAAAGGACATGACGGAGTTCCGTGAGTCACTGACGCTGCTGCCAACGTCGGATGGCATCACCTCATTGTTCATCTCCAAAGTGGTGAGAAGAATGTTTCCGTAAGCATCCACCTTGAGACAATAAAAGACAGAGAAGGGTTGTCATGAGCGGCCACAGGAAACAGAGGGTCCTAAACTGTCTCAAATAGTAATCCGTTCAACCTTTCATGCGGATGCAATGATGATGGGATGTCACAGTTACAACAAACTTTACTTGGGAAGAGGAAACTTTACAAGAATTATTCAAAATGCGATGGCTGACACACACACAGTAGTTAAAGTGCCCCTATTATGTCATTTTTATGCGTTCTAACATTGTTTTGGGAGTCTCCTACAATAGGATTACATGCATGCAAGGTCAAAAAACGCTTTCGTTTTCTCAAAATATGCATTTAATATAATCTCATTTTCCAGCGATTCTCAAACGATTCGTTCGAAGCAGTTCAAATATTCAGTCTCTCTAAACCCCTCCTTTCCGTGAGCCTGCTCTGCTCTGATTGGTCAGATAGCCTAGTCTGTTGTGATTGGTCTACCGTGTACAGCACATTTCGGAAACGATATGCCTATTTCAATAGTTCTGTATTTTGAACGCTCTATAGAAAAAATCCATCCATCCATTTTTCAACAGTAAGCGTTTTGTGAATCACGCGTTGAACTTCCCGAGATTAGAGAAGCAGTCGTCAGTAGAATGACGTGTTTGTGGGCGGGGTCAAGTTGTGAGCGGCCGGCAAACGTAGAACATAGGCGTGCATTATGGGGAAAGCAGTGGATCGGGTCTGGGGGACCGCTCGGATGATGCCCCGAAATGCACAAGCCACTTCTGATTTCATGAGCTGCAGTTGGGAGAGGTTGATTACAGTATCAATAAAAAGCAGATGAGAGGTTCTTTTTCTCTTGCAATCTTTTCTTTTAGCAAAAATATCATGCAGTCTTTAGTTCCGTGCCCTCGAACAGGGGACTAATGTATGTTATTCGTCATTTGTTTCAGAAGGAAAAGAATTCAAATACTTGAAATGTTTCTTTTGTATTATTCTTAAACATTCAAGTCATTCTATATAACACGTTTCTTTTTTACACCAGAAAAGTCCTTTAGATTTTACACACGCATGTGTATATAGAAATATAATATATAGAAATATGCATATACATATGTATCAACTTTTCATATATGTGTACACATATTTTCCAATTGTATCAAAGCCAATTCAATGTGCTCTCAAAATATGGCCCATGTTTCCTTGGGGAACGCATATCAATTCACGTAATACAACCAATAGATAAGGTTGAAGAATCCAAAAGTGATAGGAAAAATGACCCGGGACCACTTGTCAATGGTGCTAACATCCGCCAAGTTGGGGATTTTGAGCTTCAGCTTAGACGAGCGCCTTCTTAGCCGACAGTTGGCACGACTGCGCATGCCGCTGCGGTCCAACGAGTGGTGGCTGAACCCATCCCGTGAAGCCATGGGCTTGCGGAACTGCACTCCGGAGCTGTCAAAGGACATGACGGAGTTCCGTGAGTCACTGACGCTGCTGCCAACGTCGGATGGCATCACCTCATTGTTCATCTCCAAAGTGGTGAGAAGAATGTTTCCGTAAGCATCCACCTTGAGACAATAAAAGACAGAGAAGGGTTGTCATGAGCGGCCACAGGAAACAGAGGGTCCTAAACTGTCTCAAATAGTAATCCGTTCAACCTTTCATGCGGATGCAATGATGATGGGATGTCACAGTTACAACAAACTTTACTTGGGAAGAGGAAACTTTACAAGAATTATTCAAAATGCGATGGCTGACACACACACAGTAGTTAAAGTGCCCCTATTATGTCATTTTTATGCTTTCTAACATTGTTTTGGGAGTCTCCTACAATAGGATTACATGCATGCAAGGTCAAAAAACGCTTTCGTTTTCTCAAAATATGCATTTAATATAATCTCATTTTCCAGCGATTCTCAAACGATTCGTTCGAAGCAGTTCAAATATTCAGTCTCTCTAAACCCCTCCTTTCCGTGAGCCTGCTCTGCTCTGATTGGTCAGATAGCCTAGTCTGTTGTGATTGGTCTACCGTGTACAGCACATTTCGGAAACGATATGCCTATTTCAATAGTTCTGTATTTTGAACGCTCTATAGAAAAAATCCATCCATCCATTTTTCAACAGTAAGCGTTTTGTGAATCACGCGTTGAACTTCCCGAGATTAGAGAAGCAGTCGTCAGTAGAATGACGTGTTTGTGGGCGGGGTCAAGTTGTGAGCGGCCGGCAAACGTAGAACATAGGCGTGCATTACGTGTAGCCGTCACGGAAGTGGGATTCAAATTACTAACAACTCGTTTCAGCTGTTCAGAGTCAATTCTTTATTTTGGGAGACAATAACTTTATGTATCATGCATTTTCAGCTTTACAACTTTGCAGATAGTTTACATTACAGCTACATTACACACTGCATGAAAGGCAATATTGGAAATGGCATAATAGGGGCATTTTAATGACAATATTTCATCATCTTCTGAGTCGAAATTTTCACTTTCAACTGATATGATTTCTAAATGCATGTACCCCAACTTTTCTTTGTTCCTCGAGATACAGATTTCTTCTCTGTGTATATGACCTGAGGGTGTTGCTTTGAAACGGCGCTGAAATGGAGTCCTTGTGATGTGAAAGAAAAAATGAAGAGAACATTAAAACGCCCATATAAACTGGCAATCAAGCAACAATTTTCGAAGAATACAAAAGTGCATAAATATGAGGGTGAAGAAGAAAAAGCTTGCATTAAAGACACAGACACAAATGCTTTTTTCAGTCCAACTCTCATTACTCTAGTTTAGTAACTGAGCATAGTCCACACAGTTGTTATAAGTATGAAAATGGCCGACACATTTTGAGAAGGGATAAATGAATCGGTCTATCTCACGGTACATTACTGTGCTTGGATTGAAAGAGAAGCCTGCGGCAAAAAGCAGACTAGAATCAGATAGCATAATGACAATGTAATTTGTAACTTTCCAAGCAAGAGGAACCTCTCTTATTAATGAAATGCAGCTTCAATCAAATGAAATACATCACTGATTAAGTAAAGTCATGGTTAATGGGCAATTGAATGTTCGTTTTTAGCAGTGATGTGAAGCGATTCATTCAGGCGATAGTTATTTTGATGAGTGAAGTTGTTCTGCTTACAAACTAAGTGAATATGTATTCATTTAGACATGCATGAACATTGTCAACGCTTATTAAATTCATTTAAATTAGCTTTTAATTAGCACAAAAATGAACTGTGCAACTGTTATAAATGGCTTACAAGAGATCTTGCGTACCTGTTCCCTTAGACGCTTCTCCTCATAGCGGGGACGCTCGTTGTTGGCTTTATTCAGCCTTTCGTTGATCTTTTTCTGCTGCTGGGGTCCCCTTCCAAAGAACACGTAGTTTACGAAGGCATATTCGAGCAGGGCCAGGAAAACAAAGACAAAGCAGCCCATGAGGTAGACATCGATGGCTTTCACATAGGGGATCTTTGGGAGGGTCTCCCTCAGGTGGGTGTTGATGGTTGTCATAGTGAGCACCGTGGTTACACCTGCAAGAAAGCCATGTTAGTCACTTCAATGAATAATGTCACGTTCATGCGACTTGCACCGGGGCTTTCATGAACCACTTAACAAGGTCATCATGCTCCTACTTTAGGCCCAAGTTGAAACAAGACGACATGCCCAAAGAAATTAAGGTGAAGTAAGACATCCCACTATGTAGTTGTCTAATAGTAAGGTTTCTTATAGAATGCTAAGTGGCCAAGTTTTAAGCCTGACATAACAGAACTCAGAACTAAAGATGTAAGAATTTCAATGCTAAAAAAGAGAACAATTCTGGTGATATATTGCAGGAAAAAAATAGACATAGTTTCACAAAGCTTTATGTCCTAGAATGCTTTGGGCTGGTTTGCATAGCCAAGTACTCGTGGGGAAACAAAATGTATGGGGATGCTAAGGACTCAAGCAATTTTAGACATGCTTAATCTACACAAACATTGGATTACTCTTGTTTTCATTGTTGTACCTGCATCACCCACATAATTATACTTAATGCAAATCTTCCAGTGAAATCAGTGGCAAATGGAGTCAAAGCTGAAACCATACACTCTTAAAAATAAAGGTGCTTCACGATGCCATAGAAAAACCTTTTTGTCTAAATGGTTCCATAAAGAACCTTCAACATCAGAAGAACCTTTCTGTTTCACAAAAGGTTCTTTGTGGCAAAAGAAGGTTCTTCAGATTACAAAAAGGTAAGAAAGAGATGGTTCTTTAAAGAACCTTTGACTGAATGTTTCTTTGTGGAACCAAAAATGGTTCTTCTATGGCATCGCTTGAAGAACCTTTTGAAGCACCTTTATTTTTAAGAGTGTATGAACTTTGAGCATCACGCTTCGCTCAAGTTTATTGCATTGGGGAACATTCACGCAGGTCATGTGAAAGGGCTTCAACTGCTTTAATCATGGTTGACAAAAAGTAGAATATAAGAATAGTTTGCGCAAAAGACAATTACAATGATTGATACGGTTTTATACAGGGAAAAAATGACTTCCCGATGAACAAAACGTTAAAGGTTACCCAGGGCCACACGAGCTGCAGAGGCATCATAGTTAATCCAGAAGGAGACCCAGGACAAGATTGTGATCAGAATGGAGGGCATGTAAGTCTGCAGGATAAAGTAGCCGATGTTTCTCTTGATGCGGAAACTCAACGACAGCCGAGGGTATGAACCTGGGGAGACACAAGTACAAAGCAGAAGCCAAAAAAAGAGAGATGTCAACATGTAACTGGAAACACAAAAGAGCAAGCACAGGAAAAATAGATCTACAATTTGCAATTGTCAAAGTCTGCACTTTGACAACAGTCATTTTCCCATTTGTTCAGATGGAGCGTTTAATTTCCCCAAAGCAATGGATTCCTTCCCAGGGACTAGTTCCATTCCAATTAAACATGGCAGAAAGTCGCAAACATGGCAGATTTTTCTGAAACTCCCTTCTCAGCAGGCAGCGTTTATGTCCCTCTGAGAATTGTCACAAAAGCCTGCAGTGTCTTTTTTTCCATTTAGCTTTTTAATACAGGGAATTTGAGAGAGAGAGAGAGAGAGAAAAAAAATCAATTATGTAACTGAAGAGCATGTCCCGTTAAATGTGTAAAATCTGGTGTGCGGTTTAAGACAACTGTAAAGAGCATGTTTCAAGAAGCCTTTCCAAGATTGGCCTGCACATGCCTGTTTAAAAAAACTATGCAGCTAAATGTCAGGTGTGGTATGACTAATTGACTCATTCAATTGATTATTCAAATTGCTATGGCTATTTGAAAGGAATATTCTTGTTTATTCCCTATGGTTCCAATCTCACTGCGCTTTTACCTTAAGTAAAAGGTTTTAAATTCCACTGGGAGCCTTTCAGCAGCAATTTTATCAAAGAGAAAGCGAAATAACTTGATCAGGCTGTAATTTAAATAGCATTTGAATATGAACGGTACCTGACGCCAATCACAGCACAATTTTTTTACTATTATTCACTCTTGTTTGGACACCTCCCCATGAATCTCCCCATGAAATAAATAAGAGCGCTTACGAGCAAGAGCACTTAAAATGATAGCCGCATTTTCTACATTAATTTAAGTTGAGCAGTGCATTGCGATAACCTTAAATCTTCAGTAAATCTTGTTCACTGCATTGTTCTCAGTGACCGTTTGCTCTGGCCATGGATTTAGTGCTGGTATTAACCCCATTTTGCATGCAAGTGATTCGCCCATACCTGTAGTAAACCTCACTTCTCTGGACACAAGACGTAGCTCCACAATGGAGAACTGAGGCAATTCCAGTTTGTCCACACCTGTCACAGCATTGTCCCCTCCTTGCCAGAAGAACACGATATCATCTGTGGTGTACCCATCTGCAGAGATTGTAGACAGTACAATAAATGTTTAAATAGAATGTAATGTATGTATCTTACATAACCATAGCACTGGGCAATGTCAGTTTTACATCTAGCAGACAGGTCTCAGAGATGTTTTGTGAAATGAAAATTGAACTACATGGCACAACCTACCGGAAGGCACAGAACAAATGAGGTTATTTCCTTCATCAAAAATGTGGTTTGTGTTTTAGTGAGATGTAAATTGGTCTGCGTTATGTGTCGTTATCAGCACTGTTAATTTCACATATAAATGGTTCTGCTGTGTTGGTTGCTGTGTTCAGTTTCATCACACATTTTAGAGTGTTTAATGTGCTTTCTGTATGACAAGCTGTGTCACGAGGAGAGAATATGGCAAGAGCTATGCAACACAATACACTCTTACGCAAATGATGTAATTCAGACATACATTTCTTCTGCTAAGTGCACAATTTATGGAAAGAGACAATTCACATGAGAATGGCTTTGTACACAATTTAAATGATCTTGTGAATAATTTACACAAAATTAGGCCATTTATGTGAGAATGTTTTTCTGAAAAATGAGAAGTAATGAAAGTTTTATGATGGGTTTATACAATTAATGCAACATAATAATGTTTTTACAAACAGTTTATGCATTAATGAACACTTTCAGCATTGACTGTGTTTTATGAATGATTTACAAAGAAACTTTTTCTTATGTTTCATGCATGCAGCCCACAGTGCAGTTAGTGACACCTAAAGAATAGTTATCGGAATAGCTAGCTTTAGTGTTCGAAAAGTAAGGAAATGTTGATACAAGCAAATCTAAAAAGAAAATGTCATGCCTCAGCAGGCTGTGACATCTGACCCATTGATTGGCATGAAACAGTGTGCATGGTGTAATCATTCGAAACACAAATCTAGCTATTTGACTGGGCTCCTCTGATGCACCCGTGATAGACAGGGCACACTATCCTGGTACGCCTGACTGATCGATAGTTCAGGGCACCTCACTGATAAACCAGCAAACACATTCAATCTTACCTATGTCTGTCAATTGTGCCATGAGCCCTCAGTGTCAAACCCCTACAAGAACATTTATCACTACTGACACCCAAAGACAGAGTAGGCAGGACTGCAGATATGGGTGATTGCTCTAAATGGTCTTAATGATTGGGTTTGCTTACATTAGGTATCTGTGGAGTGTGACAGAGATAAGAAGCAAAAGTGAAATTGATGAGCTGGATGAGTTCAAACCGCTGTTGTCCATGGTCACGGTCTCTTCAAGGTATCTTAGAGTTGGCGTTTGTGCTATGTAGGTTGTGAGGATGATTGATGAAGATTAGACTATCACGGTGATGGTCTCAAATTTGTTCTTTTAAACAGTTTGTTCGAATGATCCAGTTCAAATGAAAAATCTGTTCTTTGACATCAATGCATGGCATCTGATTTCCTAGTTTGGCATATTATGACCTTAAAAAACATTCCAGTACAGCCACAAGTGGGAACACATTGCTGTTTATCATGTTTTGTCGTTCCCACTCTTTCCCACATTGACAGAATTTTCAAGCTTTCCATGTTTTCACTGTTATATAGCTGGGTAGATTACTTACAAATTGTAGTCTGTTACTAATTACAGATTACATGATGAAAACTGTAGTTAGTAATGTAGTCTAGGCTACTCATTTTAGGTAATTGATTACTTTTTGGATTACTTTTAGATTACTTTTTTTTTTATCAAACTTGTTTTAAACCTACCATTAAATGTACCATATTGACAAAGAAGCAAAGGGGTTTCCTAAACTGGGCTTAACGTATAAGAACTGCAGTGAGTTTGTGAGTTGATAAAAAGCTAACAATTAATTTAATCATAAAATGTAAAATAAAAATGCATGAAGCTAGAATAAAACCTTTTTGTTTGTGTGTTTAAAGCAGCACTATGTAACTTTTGGTGCTCTGGCGGTTAATAAACAGAACTGCACACATCCCGCGGAAGAACATTCCAACCAGAGCTATTTCTCTAAGTTTATGTCTATGGCGATTCACGCAGGTATGTGTTACTCCGCAGAGGTGACGACCCGCCCAGGCTACAATAGTCCAAATATAAGTACTTATTATAAGTGTACCGTAGTGATTCGGGATAAGACAAAAACGCGGTTTGGCAGATGAATTCATGATGTACTCGCTCATTATATACATTTAGCAAATTTTGAACACAGAAAAAGTTACATAGTGCTGCTTTAAAAGCAGAGGCTCTGTTCTTTCTTTTGGCATATTGCAGATGTTGATACAACAAAATATTCTGGGCCATGAAAGTTGATCAAAAATGCTGGTGGTGGCTGGTAACTCTGGTGGGGAAGAGTTAATTATGTTTTATTTATATGTTGTATTAATATTGGCATTTATTGTCATTTCAATTTTCATGCTTCAGTTCAGGTTTTTGCTGCCATGATTCATCTCATAAAGAAAGAAGAAGAAAAAAAGCAACAAATCTGGGCCATGAAAGTTGATCAAAAATGCTGGTGGTGGCTGGTAACTCTGGTGGGGAAGAGTTAATTATGTTTTATTTATATGTTATATGTTATATTATATTTATTTTTGCTGCCATGATTCATCTCATAAAGAAAGAAGAAGAAAAAAAGCAACAAAATATGCAGAGACAGTTGTGTAGAACACAGCAAATTATGCTCTCTATGGGTGTAGTACACTAGTATTACATCTAGAAAATAGCCAGTATGTGTATGCGTGTTCACATTTCCTTTCACTTACAACTCTCAATCTCTAGGGTGCAGTTCTGTTCATCGAGGGGGTACCGTCTCAGGTCCATCATGCAGGCTGCTGTAGTGGTTATTCTGGAAAAAGGACAGCAAGAAAAAAGAGAGAGAATGAGAGACACCGTTACCTTGGTAACCTTTAGGAGATCACAGCTTAGCCTTGCCTGCACCATGTAATTAGATTGGAATGACTGGAATCTATTCTCTTATTCAAAGAAAAAAAGAAGGAAAATGTAATTATTGGTAAGCAAATTGTGTTTGAGGTCTTGAGGTTTTGGATGTTGATTGGTTGTATGGTGAGATAGACAAAAAGAAGGGAATATATTAAACAAGAAGCAGAAAAAAATATATACATACACACAAACACGCATAAAAAAGCCACTTCATAAATTAGCAAATTTTAAATGTCAACGTGTCATTTTGGTTTCACTTTATTTTGATGCTCACTTTAACACATTCTGTTTACTGTAAGTAACGTAGCACCTACATGTCTACTAACTCTCATTAGAGTATTAGTAGATAATTAGTAGACTGGTAGGGATAGGCTTAGAATAAGTTGACATGTATTTGCAAAGTTACTTATAGTCAGTAGAATGTCTGTTGGGAGACCATCACAATAAAGAGTTAGCAGATATTAAGTATAAAGTCTACTAATACTCTAATGTGAGTTAGTAGACTAGTAGGTGCAACGTTATTTATTGTCAACAGAATGTTCAAAAGGGACCATCAAAATAAAGTGTTACCCTCTGGCGGTTAATAAACAGAACTGCACACATCCCGCGGAAGAACATTCCAACCAGAGCTATTTCTCTAAGTTTATGTCTATGGCGATTCACGCAGGTATGTGTTACTCCGCAGAGGTGACGACCCGCCCAGGCTACAATAGTCCAAATATAAGTACTTATTATAAGTGTACCGTAGTGATTCGGGATAAGACAAAAACGCGGTTTGGCAGATGAATTCATGATGTACTCGCTCATTATATACATTTAGCAAATTTTGAACACAGAAAAAGTTACATAGTGCTGCTTTAAAAGCAGAGGCTCTGTTCTTTCTTTTGGCATATTGCAGATGTTGATACAACAAAATATTCTGGGCCATGAAAGTTGATCAAAAATGCTGGTGGTGGCTGGTAACTCTGGTGGGGAAGAGTTAATTATGTTTTATTTATATGTTGTATTAATATTGGCATTTATTGTCATTTCAATTTTCATGCTTCAGTTCAGGTTTTTGCTGCCATGATTCATCTCATAAAGAAAGAAGAAGAAAAAAAGCAACAATATATGCAGAGACAGTTGTGTAGAACACAGCAAATTATGCTCTCTATGGGTGTAGTACACTAGTATTACATCTAGAAAATAGCCAGTATGTGTATGCGTGTTCACATTTCCTTTCACTTACAACTCTCAATCTCTAGGGTGCAGTTCTGTTCATCGAGGGGGTACCGTCTCAGGTCCATCATGCAGGCTGCTGTAGTGGTTATTCTGGAAAAAGGACAGCAAGAAAAAAGAGAGAGAATGAGAGACACCGTTACCTTGGTAACCTTTAGGAGATCACAGCTTAGCCTTGCCTGCACCATGTAATTAGATTGGAATGACTGGAATCTATTCTCTTATTCAAAGAAAAAAAGAAGGAAAATGTAATTATTGGTAAGCAAATTGTGTTTGAGGTCTTGAGGTTTTGGATGTTGATTGGTTGTATGGTGAGATAGACAAAAAGAAGGGAATATATTAAACAAGAAGCAGAAAAAAATATATACATACACACAAACACGCATAAAAAAGCCACTTCATAAATTAGCAAATTTTAAATGTCAACGTGTCATTTTGGTTTCACTTTATTTTGATGCTCACTTTAACACATTCTGTTTACTGTAAGTAACGTAGCACCTACATGTCTACTAACTCTCATTAGAGTATTAGTAGATAATTAGTAGACTGGTAGGGATAGGCTTAGAATAAGTTGACATGTATTTGCAAAGTTACTTATAGTCAGTAGAATGTCTGTTGGGAGACCATCACAATAAAGAGTTAGCAGATATTAAGTATAAAGTCTACTAATACTCTAATGTGAGTTAGTAGACTAGTAGGTGCAACGTTATTTATTGTCAACAGAATGTTCAAAAGGGACCATCAAAATAAAGTGTTACCGTGATCTTTGTGACAAAAATCACACAATATTAATCACAATATTAAGTGTTGGGATGCTCAGAGTCTTGGGCCGCAGGCAGGAAAATATCCTAGATGGTTAGCCAGTCCATCGCATGGTTAGCTTGAGAACCATTGCATACCTATTAATTAAATCAAGCAATGATTATGAGTAAAAAAGGGAGCTTGATGCAAAAAAAAGAACACTGAAACGTATATGCAAGCTATAGTGTGTGTTATTTTCTTTTCAGTCAATTGGCCAAACTGATTTACAAAATGGTTCATCAAACTGGTCTGAATAGAATGTAAATGAATACTTATTTTTTTCAGTAATATTCCTCCCCATCGTCATAGCTTTTAATTCACAATTCTGCATGCATATATTTAAATTTGACACATTGTAATTGACATGATATAAGAGTATGGTACGTAAATGATGAAAATGTACTTTTTTTATGTGGACTATTCTTAATTTTTTTTTCATATCTTCATCTGTTAGCTATAATGTTGCAATTGGATGAGTGAACAAATTATATTATATTGTTATGTTATATTATATTATATTATTATCCTGCTTAGCCTATGTACACACAAACCACTAAATCACTGAGTACGCTAAGTTCAGAGCACACCATCAACCAAATGCAAGAACTGGCCAGATTTAAATAGCTATGCAGACCATTTTGACAATGCTTCAGAACATGGAGCTCATTTCTCAACATGTTGCACAGCTGCTTCTGGGTACCTTGAGACAAAATGTTAGTTAGCAGTCGCTGATCAGAAATGCATCTCCCTGCACCCTCAACATTTTAAGTAATATTTCACACAAAAGGAAGCATCTGTCATTATTTACTAATGTCATTCCAAAATGTATGAGCTCTTTACCATAAAAGTAAAAAAAAAAAAGGTTTTCTACTTCAAAATGTAATGTTAAATTCAATGTGTCACTTGCCATTTCTTTGTAATTGTCTGTGAAATTTACTATTTATGATAATTGTTTAAACACCTTTTTTTCAGTGCAGATGAGATGCATGAGTATTCTTAATTTCATAAAAAATCATTTTGATATGCAGTATATCCATATCATATTTAATCATCAATATGACAGCCTTATTCTCCTCTGATCTCATTCTCTTATCCCATTCGTCTAGTCTGACTTCATGCTGGGTTTGGGAATTATTGGAGCCACATACTCAGTGCTGACTCAGTCTCTCCAGGGACTTTCTAGCTGCTCAAATCTGATGCTGACAGACATGTACACTTTAGTGAACAGCTCTGATGTATGGAGTATCATTCAAGACTGTAGTCTATAAAGTGACAATGTGGGATTCTTCAAAGCTGCATGGAATTCAGATTAACACCATGTCCTAACCAGACGCACCACAACACTTGATCAAACATATCTTTTCAATGCTATTCAGAGTTTTTGCTTTAACCGCCTGTGACAGTGACTACGTTTACATGGACATCAGTAATCTAATTATTTACTTAATTCTAAATATTATGATTATGGAGTTGCTTTTAGAATATTCCTTTCATGTTCCAGTTTTACATGTTATAGTACATAGTTCGATTAATGGCACACGTCATTACGTCCCCACGTGACGCCATCCGACGTCCCCTCCGGAATTTCACGTATAAATATAGAGTTCGTCTTCGTGATGATGCCATGTACAGTTTTGGGTGTTTCATTTTTAATTTTATGAAAGCTTCAAGTGCAGTTCATTATTTGTACGTGCATACAGACGATCGTGGTGTTGGAGCTCAAACGGTTGAGCACTGCCATGTGTGTATCCTGTCGCAAAATGTGGCGAAAACACGACGGTAATAATTTGATTAAGGTGTTTACATGTCTATACTGCACTTCAGTAATGCGACTAAAATAGGAATACTCCACATGTATTAATTTGATTTCTGTGTACTTCGAACATGACTTTAGCCGGATTAAGGTAATCAAAAATGTCTGTTTACATGGTAGATTCTTATTCAGAATATTGTCTTAATCGTGTTAAAATCGGATTGTTGTTGTCCATGTAAACGTACTCAGTGAAACGCGATGAGTAACAGGGGATTCTAGTTTCGGTTTTGTAAAATATTTTAATGGTTTAATTTGAGTTTGTATATCATTGTATGTGACTTTAATAGCCATAATGACAGCAACAGCGGATCATTTTCAGATCTCGAAAATATATAAAGGAAAAAAATGGTTGAATGTACTTTATACTGTGAACTCTGTGTAAAGAAACAAGTGTATTCCATTCCATTCCACAACAGTCACTGTACATATTTAGCATTTTTTTAATGTACTTATCCATTTCATTGCAAGTGCAAGACAGCAGTGCACTTGCAGAGAGAGCCCGCCCCGGCTCTCTTCTGATTGGCTGTGATTTGTGATTTATTTTGTCGCGTGTCTGGTGTGGTCAGACAAATCACAAATTCGTTAGAATCTTCTCGCATTGCATTGAGTTAGGACACGGTGGAAGTCTTTCCCCAGAACTCAATGTAGCAAAATGTGAAATTTTCCTTGTGTTAAGTCTCCAAAATAAATTGAACAGGAGCAAAATCATGATGCGTCTACGCATTTTTGTGACAGCTGCCATTTCGCTGAAAGATGGAGACTGACTCATCTCGTCTACGATGTTGCGAGTGACAAACGACCTGCTCTGTCTGTCACTTATATGCAAGGAAAACAGATCAATAATCCCACTGTGATAAGGAAATAAGACAACAAAAATACTGCACTGTATATAGTTTAGAATAGAAAATAATGCACAGTATAGTTTTGTGGCTGATGAATAATTATAATAATAATAAACTTGAAAAAATTGTAACTGCACAAATGCAAAAAAAAAACAAAATAATCAAAATTAAATAAATAAAATGCAGAATTGAGGGGGAAATGAATTAAAAATAAAATGAAGTGAAAGGTAATTATAAAACTGCTCTAAATGTAGTTTTAAGTAAAAAAAAAATCATATAAATAATTTTTTTTTAAATTATATTAATATTAATATTTGTAATATTTATGAGTGCCTATGATCTTGAGGTAATCCAGAAGTAGTCATATTGCGTTACTTCAATATTGTAATATTTGTATAACATGACTGTAAAGCAAGTCATTATTAGTAATTTATATTGTAATTCATTTATAAAATAACCCTGTCATTTCTTGTAGTGTTATATAACTATATAAATGTTACATAACTATAACTTCGACAGACACTAGCAGTGAACATGGCAACAGCAAACGGCATACACGGCATACACTGGAGTTAAATTAGGTAACAGAGCATGGGTGTAACATAGTAATGTAGCTATTACACTGCCTTCTGTGCATTTTACTGTGAGCGTCCTATAATTAACATGCAGGGTTGTGTTTGTTTTTAGCTTCAAAACCTTTCAAAAGCTCTGCATGTGGCTAAGAGGCAAACAACATCTGTTATAGCACTTTATTTACAGTATATATAACATACTTTATGCAATAGCAGCTGCTTGTTTGTGTTTTTGTTTTCATTTCATGTCACTCATATTTCTTCATTATCATGCGTTCTTGGAAATGTGGAGTAAACAGCCAGTTACCTTAGATGCCCAGTGTAAACAATCTATAAACTACTTTGCTTGCATAAAACCCTTCAATATGAGCATTAGCTTTCTCCTCCAAATCCCCATAAAGCACAAACCAATGCATATTTATAACTCTGTACTTTTGTGGGTCATATGGAGGATGCTTTGCATACATACTGTAGCTCTACTAAAGCTGACTAAGGCACATTAATTCGAAATCCCTTTTTAGACACAGCAGGGCATGATATGATAATTAAACATTAACAACAGCCCTGACTCATGAATAATTTACAGCCAGCAAAGACCCATCTTAAGAGGTTATTAAGAGTAGACATATCAATACTGCAAACATGCTGTAGTTCCCCAACATTTCAATTCTCTACAGCGGTGCAGGTTTGAGAGACGCTCAGGAAGAAAAAAAAGCAACCGTGGCCTCGCTGAGATTTCTTAATTCCACCTGTGCCAGAGCCTCTTGGAAGAGGAGTTTGTCATCTTTCATTACTGATAATTTGATTGAGTGGGGCACCCAGAGCGAACTCTCTGCCTTGCCGGTGCGGTTCTGGGTTAATGCATAGGAGAGTGAGGAGGGAGAGTGGTTTGTTTTTATACTTGTGCCTCTGTTTGTCCAACAACAAAGAAAGGATGACATTTGAGACAACAGTTTTTAGATGTTCCATATTATGTGTAACCATTTGGATGTGATTTTATGCGTGAGATCAGATGGTTGACTGTTAATATATAAAACTAAGTAAGGGATAATATCACCCTGAATGGAGTTATTCTGCGATAACAACCGGCTGGATGTACATGATCCTGCTTATTACCCAGCTACTTGCCACATAAGTAAATAATTAGACACGAAATATTGATTTGAGTTTAAATATTTGAACGCAAAGCTTCCGTGAAGACAGCAGTTGCGAGCAAGCGGCAAGTTCAAACTAGACAGACATTTAAGGGATACTAGCTTGTGTTAAGTGTGTTAAAGAAGAGTGTTAAGCGCCGACTACAGTTACCCAGATGAGCCTGTGTTATCAGCTTTTACCGGTTGTTATCGAGGGATAACATACCTCAGAATGTCACGACTGGCCAATAAGAATCAAGTATTCCACAGAGCCGTGTAATAAGTTTAAATAATAAATTTACCAAATTTTATATTATTACACCTTCAACAACGCCGGTTGCACCACGCTCTTCCGTCACTTAATCTTTTTTATTTTGATGCGTCAATCTGTTAAATTACTTAGTATGGGAGATCATGATCCGCACTCACGAAAACTTCGTTTTATTCTACATTCATCGTTGATGGGAAAAGACACAAACGTTTCAGCTCAAAGCCTTCCTCAGTGTGTAAAAATGTCATCTGCAGAATTTATACTTAACTCAGTCTGCACGTGTTGTTGTGACTGTTGTCAAGGATCTGAATGTGTCAAACTGAACCTAAAGCCCGATTCTGCCGCCTGGTGGAGCGGATGAAAAACTGCACTTCAGTTTTTACCTTAAAACACTAGTTTATTCCTAACGGAATCTAAATTGCTTCAGCGATTGGGTCACTGTTCATGTTACAAAACACATGTTTTAACATTTTCATACTGAAGATAAAGCAGTCTATATTATCTATGGCTGCCCTTTCGAAAATTAACCATGGATTTATTGTAGTAAAAGTGTAGTAACCATGTTTTTTTGGCGTATTGATTACCATTTGTATAACCACAGTTTTACTACAAATACCATGGCTAAACTATGGCTAGTGTTGCAAAACTATTTATTTAATTTGAGGTTACCATGGTTATAGTAGTGTTATGGTATTATAGTAAACATGTTTTTGGGGTTTTATTTGTAGTAAAACAATATTTATTTTTTTGTAAGGGAATGAGCAGCATCATACGATGAATCAAAAGCAATTAGAACCCATTATAATCAGTGATGCTGTCTACACTGGATGTGGCACAGCACAGCCTATATTGTTGTCCTATACAACGGCAGTCCTATATTGTTGAAATAATGTGATTCAGATGTAACCCAGGCTCACTGGAAATTACGTGATTGTGGTGACATTTCTGCAACACTGATATTACGTACCTCACGGCACGTTTCACAGCAGTTTCAAAATGAAATATCCAGTGAGTGGCGCTAAAATGCGTGTTCAATGCGTCACCATGGCCATGTTTTTATTATGTTGATACAGGCATGTATTCCTGCGTTTTTATTATGTTACTTCAGGTATATTGAGGCGGTTCAGAATTAATTTGTCTTAAAAGGTTAATGCTCTATCGTGTTGGAAAATAACATGCCCCTACACCAAACCCAACTCTTAACCTACCCAATAGTGTTAACAAATGCAAAAATGATATACAAACGCATTTGCTGATGCAACCGGGCTATTACCAGAGCGCTTCACCTCACAAGTGCAACACCGTATCACATGAGCTACTGAACAAACCAACAGCATTTTTTTCAATATCATTTGAACAACGAAGTTCGAAGCCGAGCTGATCTCAAAAAAGGCAAAGCCTCTTCATGTGATCACACTTTCCACCCAATATCTTTAGCACTTTTATTTTCAACACGGTTTGTCAGTGCTGTGAACCATTAACAGATATCTTTAACACACACCCCGAATAGAAGCTTTCCCATAGATAACCTGTCCCTAAATGTGCTAGCAAGTGTGACATGAAGTTTTACCTATAATTAAAGTTAAACAAAGAACTTTGATACTCATACGAATAATGAATTCAAGAATGATGTCACACAAGTTGGGGGAAGTTGTGGCCTAATGGTTAGGAGTCGGACTCGTAACCCAAAGGTTGCAGGTTCGAGTCTCGTACTGGCAGGGATTGTAGGTGGGGGGAGTGAATGTACAGCGCTCTCTCCCACCTTCAATACCACGACTGAGGTGCCCTTGAGCAAGGCACCGAACCCCCAACTGTTCCCCGGGCGCCGCAGCAAAAAAATGGCTGCCCACTGCTCCGGGTGTGTGTTCACGATGTGTGTGTGCACTTTGGATGGGTTAAATGCAGAGCACTAATTCCAAGTATGGGTCACCATACTTGGCCACATGTCACGTCACTTTCACTTTCAAAATGGCTAGATCAGGTCAGGCTAGATACAAAAATTGAGCTTTGACTGAGTGAAACCAATTCATTATTTTCAGTTGATTACAATCAGCTCAAAATCTGTTAACCGGAAGTTGCGACCAAATTGTGACGTATTAGAATGTTGAATTAGGAAAATTAGAGGGCGGGACATCTCTAGCTCTCTGCAGACTGACTCTTGAGGATGTCAATTTGAAGGAAGGAACAGCATTTCTGAAGGGAAGCAACTTTTCAGATTTCAACTAAAGATTACGCAGACAAACAGTTGCACTGATTAATTGCTCACCACAAGACTAGTAATGTGCACTAACAAAGCAAATAGGCTCGGTTTTGATTTCATGCAGACTTCAAGACACTGATGTTTCAACGGCAATGGAATTTACCTCAGTCCGTAAAGAACAGTGCCGTCTGGGTGGAGCCGAATCATTCGGTTCTTCACCGTCACACCGTGCAGGAAAGACTTCTTGTCATTCAGGAAGTAGGTATCTGGGAGCCATAACTGATCAGCCACCCGGTTGTCCAAAGTGAGGTTCAAAGCCATCTCAGCATAGGCCAACCGTTTGTCCCTCCAGCTCTGTTGGAAATACATGGTGATGGTGTAGTCCTGCAAAGAGCACAGAAAATCAGAGGGATGGAAGTCTTTATTATTTACAGTTATTTCCAAAACAAACTGTCCTTTAATTTTTCAAAAATAACACTTTTGATGTTTTTGATTTTTTGTTCCCTTGCATTTGCTCTGGTTTGACAGAACTGTAACATGCAGGAGGGCAAACTCATTATAAAACATTTCTATTCAATGAGAAGGTAATGAAAACATTGTGAAATGGATTAAGATGTGTACCAACGTGATATTGATTAAATGAGCAACAAAAATATACAGCATTGACGGGATTAGGTTCATTTGAGCAGTGACTTTTGGATGTAGGGCAAACAGGATTGGCTGGGGACACTCTTTAGATCCACTACTGATATGACTCAATGCTGCTTTAATGCATACTGTCAACTGGATTTTAATGATAAAGCATTCTGCACAGACACTAGTCCAGGGATAGGCAACGTCGGTCCTGGAGTGCCGCTGCTCTGCAAACCCCTTGTCCAGATACCCGCACTTGCGGTCTTTGCACTTGACCACTTGACTACTTCGTATTTCCTGTATTTGGTCCAAGTGAGCATGAATACCACAAGGGTGTGTAGAACTTTCCATTACCTGATGGGACACACTTATAGTGTTGTAAAAATGCATAATAATAATTGTTTATTTTCAATACTTTGCATTTTTAAATCAACTTCTAAATGTCTGTTCAGTAGTCCCTATAACAGATGACACTATTTAATTTTGTGGTGCTTCAAATTACAGTAAGTGATAAAAAGCAGTTGCAAATGTTGTACAAAATAATTATCACCACTACTCATTTGCACCAATAAAATGTGCAACTCTTTCTTTTACTACCAAATTACATGTAATATCTAACTATTATTAATATTTGTTTAATTGAAATGTAATAACTATACTTTTTGGTGATAATTACATATTCAGGACTCCAATATTTTAGTTCACATAAATCCTGCCCCTACAAACTCAGGTTTATTGGAGTTCAATGCTCACATCTTAAAATCCAATCAATAATCAATGCATAGAACCAAGTCATCAACCCTACATTTCTTCTTCGTCTAATCCATTACACTTGGATATACTGAAAAAAAAATGAAATAAAATAAGATCTGTCACTACTTCCATTTCATCGTGACTTTTAGTTGTTGGGGTTTTTTCAACCCTTTGCCGCTCAGATGTAGCACAGCACCTTTTCAATACTTTTGTATTTTTTTTAATGTCCAGGGAAAGGGAAGTAAAACAAAACATCCGATTGAAGACCTTGTGGTACAGTATCTTCAAAACAGCACAGTTCAAAGAAATTTCAGCAGTACCTTCATGATGGATAAATCAAAGAGACATGTTCTTGTAGAAGAAAAGAAGGGTGGAAAGTGAAGGAAAACAACTTCATACTTGAATGAATACTTTGAACAAATTAAAATAAAATCTTCTGCCTGGAACCGGATGTAAATTCTCCAGTGGCCCCAAATAGAGGGATTGCAGTAAGAAGAAAACATGGCATCATATCTGTGTCTCTCTCCACCATCTCTCTCATCTTTCATCTCTGATATATGTCTTCTTGTGACTCTCTTTAATGGCTTCGTTAAACTGTACAAAAAAGTTCCTGAAACTAGTATTTTTTGTTTCTTTTTCAACAAATGATCAGCAAATGTTGATAGTCTACCTCAGAAGGCCAAACTAAATATTACAAGTTTCGTTTTCTATTAATTTGTAATAGGTTTTGCCATTTTTACAGAACTGTAAGGCAGATCTGCCCTCTGCCAAGTGAACAGTTCACTCTAAAAAAATGCTGGGTTAAATACAACCCAATTGCTGGGTTTGTCCCTATTTTACCCAGCACTGGGTTGTATTTAACCCAGCATTTTTTAGAGTGTAACTTCCACTATAAGGAACTATTTGTTGATGATACGGTGTATTTTACTTACAACTTCCATTTACTAGGAATAAACATTAATTAAACATCAAAATTAAACAGAATAAAAGACAATTCCTAAATAAAGACTCAGTATGAGATATGTGGTAAATCTGTAATTATTGATTAATACTTATAAAATGTTCAAAATAATAATTTAACCAGAAACCACTAAATGATTTTAGACCGTTATGTCTGTGCATTCTATCAATTAAATGAAGCATTCGTGAAGCTAGTGTGTTGTCCCTTCAACGCCTGGGAGCGATTTCATGCAAAGTTGAATCTATAAAAATCTTACTGTCATCGGATTTTAATTGAATTTCACTTGGAGCTTGATATTGCTGTGACCAGAGCTAATTATCACACCTTGCAGTTTAAAGCAAGCATCACATGAAGGAGACGGCCTGCAGCATAAACACTGTCTAAACCTGACGATTGGTTTACAACAGTTCAGCAGTGATACTCACATAAATGAGTCAGATTAATAATAAAACTAATTTCTAGTTAAAACATTTGGGGTTTTAAACTAGGAAATACTACACTTGATGTTCCTGCTACATTTAGTTAATGTCAGAGTGATTGCATTTATGAAATGCGTGCACACGAATGCTACCATAATATTCTCATTGCCAGTGGATATTTTCTTTGAGCTCCAAACTTCCAAATTAGGGTCTATACAATTTAGTTTGAATGCATTTTAAGTACTGTACTGTTTTTGAAGTGAAGCTATTTTTGGAGGACTTACAAGTGTACAGTGGATATGCATATTTCTTTGCTGTTTACCTTTAATGTCACAGTTCTGGCCTGTCGCTAGTGAATAGTTTGAGACAGGGAGATGTCCTTATAGTGACACTAGCCAATCAGCAATGTCGCAACATTTTTTAAAATTAATTTTGTTGTACTGTCTTGCACTAAAAAAGTTACCTGTCTGACGTGTGTGTGTGTATATATATATATATATATATATATATATATATAATTACCTAAAATGTATTTTGAATTCTGCTATTTAATCTCTCTAACACACATCACAGTGTAATTACGACTTCTAGGAACTTCCTTGGAACACATAAACTAAGCATATATTTAACCAGTAGCCAATTTTATACTCCATTGTTATTGCCTCATCAACCTTTTTCTTAGAGGCAAAACTGGACAGTGGGAATTGTCAGAGAGGTACAATGAGCTTGACCAGTACATAATCTTCAAAGTACCTCTTTGAAAGAAGCGTTTAGTTATGACTTTTTCTGTGAAAAAATGAAAGAAAAAAGGTGAAATTGTTTCCTAAAAATGAGGAGCTAATGTATTCTGAGCATAGCATCTTCTGTTCACATGTCCACTCAGCTGGGTTTATATTAGTCAGGTGAAAACTGCTGCCTGTGATGACTGTCGAAGGGCCCTCTCTGATGATGAGGACACGGCATGCTTTAGGGGCCTCTGAAGTCCTCAGAAGCGGCATAAGTTCAGCCATCTAATTGACACAGAGGTCCTTAAGGTAGCGAATCGCACCCAAGTCCACTTGACAGGTTTACATGACCTCTGATTTCCCTCCTAATCATTCTTAAATCATGTAAGTAAAATGCTATGTATGATGTGTAATTTACATCTTTCCATGCTTCCAGTCACATTTGCTATACAGTATACAATGAATTACCTCATTGCTGCTGTCTATCAAAATAAAAAAAATCACCTTTGGACAGCAACTCACATTCTTCGCATCAGCAGCTGTATTAACTGTATATATATATATATATATATCTGTGATGCACAAAAACAAAACAGATTTTTCATCATCAGTACTCGAGGCTTCAGTGTCACATCATCCTTCAGAAATCATTCTAATATGCTGATTTATTATCAATGTTGGAAACGGTTGTGCTGCTTAATATTTTTTTGGAATCTTTTTTAAGGACTATTTGATGAATAAAGTTGAAAAAATCTGCATTTTTTCTAACAATATACGTCTTTATTATCACTTTTTATCAATTTAACACATCCTTGCTGAATAAAAGCATTCATTTCTTTCAAAAAAAGAAAAAGAAAAGAAAAAAAAATACTGACCCCTGACTGAACTTTTGAATGGTTTTGAACACAATATTTGTCACGTGTATGTTCCTGTTTGTCCTTATTTGGTTATGTTCCTGCCATCTTTGTTTCATTATGAGTTCATAGTCTCCACCTGTGTTTGGTGTGTTTGATTTACTCCCTCGTTATGTCTTGTATTTAATGTGTAGTCTGCCCGATGTTTCTTTTCAAGTCTGAATGTCATTTCCTACATGTGTGTTCCTTGTTCCATGTGAAGAAAATAAAGTATTAGCATCGAGAGTTCCTTTCCGTCTCCTCGCTAGTGATGCAAAGCCCGATTCATTTCCGCGAACCGGTTCTTTTCGGACAGCTTGGCTCATTGAACTGGTTCAAAAAGCCGATTCATCGGTTCCTGACGTCATCAAGCAATAACGTCTCTACACATTTCTTTTCTAACAACTCAGTGCCATGTTGTATCAATTGGAACATTCAAAAATAAAGTTATTTGTGTGAAAGCATATTGCTGATTATTGCCATATAATTCACTTAAGTTAATGGTGTTTGTGGTCCCAGTTTCATTCGCGGATCCTCAGATACGACTGACTGAGCAATATTGACTAGCTTACAACTTGGATAAGATTCCTAAAAGTTTCACACCTTTCACACCAGACATTGATGCACAAACGCACATATGTTCTACATGTCTACAGTATAAAGAATGAATATGTTTTATAAAATCAAGTCTTATAAACTCCTTGATTTCGCTTAAGCAACTTTAAATATAATATGCATTTTACTATTGCAAAATTTATTTACATCACTCGACAGAAAGGTTTTGGCAGGTTTTGTCATAATAAACAAGCATATTTCCAGTATGCTCCTCAGGCTTGCACAGTATTGTCAACTCACTCATCAGAATCTTCAGTAATACTCGGCAAACTTCGTCACGGCTCATTCGGTTCTTGTTGAGTCCTCGGTAATCCTCGGAAAATTTCGACAGTTGGTTGAACCGGCTCATTCGGGTTTTTTTTTAGTTGGACGTGCTACTTCGGCTGTGCGTCCTGCTTCATCAACCCGGAACTAAAGTTCGATTTGTGAACCGGCTCGACCGGTTACTTCCTGAGAACCGGCTCAAAAGAACGATTCGTTCAAGAACCTACCATCAATACTCCTCGCTCCTCACAGTAGGAAGCGTGACAATATTGTTTCAAAAGATTTCTATTTTGAATAAAAGCTTTTTAACATTTTATTCATCAAAAAATCCAGAAAAATGTATCACAGGTTTAAAAAAAAAAATAAGCAAACTGTTTCCAATATTAATATTAAATCAGGATATTAGAATGATTTCTGAAGGATCATGTGACACTGAAAACTGGAATAATGATGATGATGATGAAAATTCAGCTTTGCATTAGAGGAATAAATTATATTTTAAAGTACATTCAAATAAAAAAAACATTATTTTAAATTGCAATAATATTCCACAAGATTATTATATATATATTTTTTTTTCTATATTTTTGATCAAATAAATGCAGCCTTGCTGAGCATAATAAACTTATTTAAAAAGCATTACAAATCTTACTGATCCCAAACTTTTGAATGACAGTGTGTATATATAATTTGCTAATTTTAATTTAAGATAATATGGTAACTTTTTTTGATAAATTTATTTTATTTTATTTAGTTCTCTGTATATATATATATTTATATTTAATATTATTATTTTAATGAGGATTATTGTTTGCTTGTTCATTTTCCAAACACAACAAGAACAGGTTTTATTCGAAAACCATGATTTTTGATTTTTGAATCAAACTAATGGGGAAGCAGCTTTATTTTCCTCATGTTCTTTGAAAATTTCCCAATAAGAAATCTAATCTAAGATCATATTTCCTGCTGTCAAACCTGCTGTATTATCCGACAGTAACCTGAGGAAAACCGATCCAGGTGCAGCACTTCCTCTCTGGGGTACTTTATGGATTCAGGCCGCAGGCATTGAAGCCGAGGCGCTGATAAAACCAAAGTCCCTGACTCTGCATGAAGAAATGATGAATGCAGTAAGTCTGCATGGGGTCTCCACGGTAAGTATGTATAGGGAGTTGTCAGCAGAAATTTAGACGACTGCTCTTTAAGTAAACTGCTTTTTAAGGGCTCCAGGGTGGTGTTTAACTTGAGGTGATGGTCCAGAGCCAAAAGGTCTACTGGTGCTACATAAATGCTCATGACCCCAGTAATACATAATCATCCATACTGATCATTTTCTTATGTAATACTATGAAGACTCAATAAAACAGCCCTTAAACATACTGTATGTTTCTACAGAAACACAGCTAACTTATACTCAAAAAAGCCCAATGTAAAGTTCAGCCCAATGTACTGTGTTAAAATAAAGGAACTTTGGTGTTTTACCCATATTTTGAATTGTGCAAAAACAACAATTAGCAACACCAGTAATATCAGTAATGCCAAATCAATGTTACTAACCATGTTGACTTCTGAGATGGAGTCAATACTGGCAATATTTATACTCATTCCCACAATGACTGGAGGACCTACAGAAAAGAAAAAGAAAGAGTGAGAAAAGTTTAGACAATTGTAACATCACTGTATTGCAGCATCACCATAATAAGTTTATCTACAATGAGAAAAAAGAAAAAAAAAAAACTCTAAAGTGGAGACCTTTTCGCAGACATAAGAAAGCCAAATACACTTCAGCTTGTGGATATCTAAGTACGTACTAGAAAGTAAGTACTTTCAAAAATCAAAATTAAATACATTTGAATAATTAAGTAATTTCGAAGCCTCTAAAGTGGTAAACTTTCTAGTGATTATTTCATTCTCTACTCATTGTATCAACCCGGAAACTTGTAAACATAACCTTGGACTGAATCGTCAGCGCTTACTCCTGAAAGTTCTGTGAAGCTCACCAATCAGAATACAGCTTGCCAAAAAAAAAAAAAGCTTTCCATTTTTGTGTGCAATATGCATCAGACGGTCATTGAATATACTGTGGGTGTGCGGTCTTAGACTGAGACTATTATGAGTTAAAAAACCTTGTAAACATTGGCAGAGTTTATCTTTTCTGTATGTGGGTGCAAGTGAGAACGCCTGTGTTACAAAATGCTCCAAAACATTTAATGAAGCATAGACCACATAGCTACAAAGAAAAAAAAAAGATGACAGTGGGCCAAATTTGCTCATGACATTCATTATTTACCCAAAGCATTTACCTCAAATAATGTGCCTTTCTTTAATAGGTTCATATATAAATTGCCAATTGTTCACTAAAAATATTCACAGTAATGTGAGGTTTTAAGTTTTAAACCTCTACTCAAAAATAAATTTCCTTCAAATACTTGGCATGACTAATTGACTAAATATGGCATTGTCTTAGTGGTGAGGGTTTAGTCAGACTAATCCACTTGTGTGCTGCTTGGGAAGCATTTACAATCAGTACAACTTCATTTTTATCGCTGAATCATTTTGTCATCACCAGTAAACAAAAACACTGGTCAGGCACTACAAAAAAGAAGATAAACTTTGATTTTATTTTATTTTACCCACAAGTGCCAAGACAACCAAGATAAGAGAATTGGCTACTGGTTAGCATTGTCCAAAAGTCCAGATGGCCAAAGCAACATCAGGGGGAAAACAATCATTTCAGAGAAAGATACATTTATTACATTTTTAAGATTACAAAGTAAAAAATAAATAATCAATCATATATTTGGACAAACATGCACCAATCATGCACAATAAGACTTAGAATATCCAAATGTTCTCCTTGACACATTCATAAGTTCTTGATAGATTCATAAGGGAATCAGTCTTTTGAGGATCTTTCAATTAATCAGTTGATTGAGTTCTGCTATTATATACCTTTATTATTGTACAATTTATGATCCCTTAAGTCATCCATCTTCTGTGCTGTCTTAAAAATATCTCTAAAATGCCATCCAAAAAAGGCGTTCTTCTGACTGCAGTTTTGAAATATTTACTGAGCACTTGACTGAGAGTGCAGTCCTCCATCTCTCTGTGTATCCTCTCCATCTTTTTTTGTGCAGTGGTACTTTTCACCCCCATCTTTTCACCGTTGACATGTTTGCACGGTGTTCCGCCTCACTCTTAAATGCCCGCAGTTCTGTTACTCTCTCACCTCACCTCATAAAATCGGAAAATGGAGAGAAAGAGAGAGAAACGGCGCTCGTGGAGCAAAGGAAAAAAATGGAGCCATTTTCCTGGGCGCTTTGTGAAGGCAACCAGCAAGAATTTTCCCAGGAGATGTCAAAGTACATTCATTGGCTAGTTGTAAACAGTGAAGCCTGAAATCTTCCGCACGCTCCTGCCATTACATATTTTTGACCCGGGCTTCCTTGAAACGAAGAAACATTGGAGAACGGTGCCCCGGATATACACTCTCCCTCGGCTTCCATGCCACATCTCGAAATAAAACCACTTACCTGTGTCAGAGGCTCTTACAGAGAAATTGTGTTTTGGCCTACTCTCCTACTACTCCGATTATTAGGAAGTGAATGTTAGCCATCTTCCTTATAAACACTTGTGCTGCCACTGCTTAAAAGAATGTTCCAGGTTCAAGATGTTCACGAGTATCTGTGACATGCTGTCATTTACCAAATAATTACAACTGGTCCCTTAATTTGCAAAACCACATTCACAGAGAGAGAGAAAAAAGGTTCCCCAAAACACTATGCCACAACTTCTGTTGAGTGATCTTAACTTGTACTGATCCGGGAATATTTCCTCTGATTTGATAATAAAAAGAAACAAGGGCATTCATCAGGAATGCATTTTGACTGCATATAATGACGTTTAAAATGAAAGTATGCTGCTTTTTCTAAAAAAACACCAAGAGCACACAATGGCTGATCATTTCAACCTGAAGCTGTCCAATGTTCAATAGGACTATTTGAGCCATTGCTACTTTTGAATACCTTAACATTTTGAATGTATTTGGTTAATGCTCCAGAGCACCTGTACATGCCCCTTTCTAAAACCCATCACCACCACCTCAGGAGTTCAGTGTGTTTTCACCAGTTTTTCCCTCTCCAACTGCACTGACAGATGGCACCATCATCTGTATACATATTTAAATGACAAATGTAAGGCAGGTGGCTTCTCTAGAGATGCTATCTCCATTCAGAGGACCACTTTGCTCCCCAAATGCCTTTGTTTTGCTAACCTGTAGGCAGATCACATGGAGCCCGGCCCCAACACAGCAAAAAAAGAGAAAACCAGGTAGAAACAGCAAAAATAGCACATCTGACGGAACACAAGTGCCAAGGATACTGCGTCCTGAGCTGAATTCTCATGGGTCGCCGCTTTTTCCCAAAGCAGGTTTTCACTGACACAGCAATGTATCTCTCCTGCAGGTAATGATGACGGTAATACCTAGCGTTTGTGTTGAACCTCTTTCCTTAGGAGAGAGCTGAAAGTGCTTACTGGTGGGGGGCGAAGGAAACTCATAGCAGTCGATCTGGGTGATGTATAGCCGCAAGTCTTCGGCATAACAGTGGATTGCCAAGAATTTATCGCCCCAGTTAGTTCAGAAGTTGATGAGCTTTCACGGCATAACAGAGCATAATATAAATATGTTTGTGCAGTTTGTGCGAAACAAATACATAGGTAAGGAGTCCCTTACCATAGGTAGGATTATGTGAGGTGTCCTAGTAGAGCACCCTCTACTGACGCTAAAGGGTCTTGCAGGGCTATTGCATCTTTCTGCATTTGCTGTAAAGCATTCTGTTTTATTACAAAGACAAGACATGGCATGTGAATGGCATGTGAATTAGAGTAAGGACAGGCCCACAGGCCCACATGCCTTTGATCAACGCAGTCACGCACAGCACCATACATGGAGAAATAGAGTGGCGAAGAAAATACCACTCTTCCACCCGATTCAAAATTCGAATCATCAACTCATTGCTTAGCAACAGAGGGGTTCCATAGCAACAAGGCGGCATTGTCACTCTTACACTGCAACGAGAGACACGGTGCTTTTCATACATTGTATTCAATCTTTTTTCCCTCTCATGAATGGCCAAACGTTGGCATAGTGTCCTTTTGTCAGATGAGGAACATATAAACGACGACTCTGTTAAATCATTAGAGATGGAACACTGAGGAGTGGACAAATATATTAATAGATGTTCCAGGCGCATGTTTAAAACATGAAGCGTTCACATGTGCCAGGATGAAAGGAGAATACTTATATGTTCCTCTACCTGACATTTATAGCTATCAATGCATTATTGACCTTTAAAAGTCTCTGGATGTGGTGAGTCACATCTAACAACGTATTTATTATGCTTAAGTAATCATAGGAATCACCTACACTAAAAAGAACAGTAACTATAAAGCAGGCTGATAATAGCCATTTAATTTAATGTCTATTGGTAGAACAAAATCACACAAATTAGTTTTAAACTATATTGTTAAAAAATGAGTAGAAAATAATTTTAGCTTAACCCTATTTTTTTCAGTCCCTGTTTTGTACACTATTCATAGAAAATGTCACCTGCATTGATTTAAATGGTACTCATCACTTTATACGTTTCGACTGTTATTTAGTCAGTGCTGTGACACTGTTTGTCAAACTTTATATGGAAATAGTCAAAATACTTATTAATAGTACTTCAGCACGAAGGGACATTTGGAGAGGTAATGTGTGTATCTGTGGCTAACAAAACAACTTTGTGACACTGACAGTCTTGATGAATTAAAGCTCTCTGCAAACTCAGAAGCCAGAACAAAGAGATAAATGTGTAGAGTTCTGCAAGTTTTAGAAAACTCAGCAAGCAGCCATATGGCACTGCACATTTGCAGAAATACACATCAGCAAGAATAAGAAACACCTAGCAGAACTGCATCAACATACAGTACACCTTCAAGACTATGCTTTGCTTATTATTATATATTTAAAACAATACCCTGTGTGAATAAAGAAATAAGCAGAGTGAATAGTGCAGATATTATAGTAGTGTATTGACTGTTCATTTGCAGGATGGTTTTGAGGTTATTGCCAAGTTAAAATCTAAGCTAATGGTGACCAAAAAGTAGCACTCACCAACTAAAACACAATGCAGTTAATGCTACCTGCTTACATTTACTGTATAATTCCATGACTTTGAGTAAATATTGCTGTGCCAGGATGCTTAAATATACAGAGCCGCAGAGTCACAGTGTTAAACTTTTCGGGTAAATCAACCTTTACATTTGTGTCTACACATTAAGGTGAAAGCATAATTAAAAAATAATAATAATAATAATCCTTGACATAGATACTTTTTAAAAAGGGTCCATTTTAAGCAGGGTGACCATTTCTGTAACACAAAAAATTAGGACACTTTGCAGAATTCAGTGAAACTGAAAAACAATCCCAAACCTATAATCATTATGAGGCAATATTTGCCCCTTATATTGATTTCCAGGGGCATTTTTACCTTAATAAGGGCATTTTTTCAAACCTTTTTAAATGTCCATTTCATGGAAATTTCTTCAATAAATTCAATTAGAATAACACTATAGGATTTAA